CACCACGCCCCGTCGCGCCCTCCACGCCCCACTCTTCCCCGTCCCGCCCCGCCCCTAGTGCGTCAACCGGAGCCAGCCCAGCTCCAGCTAGAATAATTCACTCGCGGTTTCAGGGTCTCCGGTTTAAGCGGACAGATGGTAGCGATAAGGATTTTAGCAGGAATGTCACAATTCCGGTTTTGAATTTTGTGTTGTTCATAAATTTAAAAAAGAACCGTAATCAGGAATTCAGGAACTCTTATTCGTGTCAAACAAATTGAATAATGTAGTTTCTATATCAGTGATACCGTTCGTCAAATAATGGAGGTTTGTTGTTTTCGTAATACTGTGCTGATGTAACGGCACAACGCAACTACCAGCGCTACTCTGTTAACAACATTCAAAAAAAGGTTAGTTGTAACTAAAGATGACGTATGTGTATTCCTGCTCGAGGAATAAACTTATTATTTACAAGAAGAGTATTCTAGGGAAAATATTGAACAACATCCGTCAATATCACAAATAACAGACTGGGTTATGAATCTGACCTATCGCTTCGGTTAAGAAACTCGACCGCTATTTCACTACATTGACCTAAGGCGTTAATTATTATAATAACAAGGTTTTAATGTTTCCTTTTCTTCATATACATTTTTCTTAATATTCATGAGCCAAGTGCCTGATGTTTGGTGGCGATAGGTTTTGCTGGTTGGAAGATTTGCTCAGGTGTTGGGGATCCGCAAGAGGAGTAACTCGTGACCCCGGTAACATTTATAACTGAGTTCAAATGTGTGAAATTTTCTAATTAGTTCTGCTCGTATTACAATCATATAAATAAAACCAGAAGTTATGTGTGTCAGTAGTTTTAATTGTGTCTCCACCCCGTACGACATGCAAGGATCACATGATGAGCCCTCTCACCCCCCTGAAAGTTTTGAATCGATCGTAATACCTTCATTTAAAAAGTTGATATGCACTCTTCTGTGTTTTATTATCATAATATACATCTTTTACTTACCTGGTACGGAGAAAATTATGTATTGCTGCTGAGAAAACAAACAATTTTCGACAGAAAACCTCGTTTCCTGAGTCTGTTACCAAAAAAGTAGATTTATCTTGTTCCTATGATCTTCCTCTAATACGTTGTGTAGTTACAATCCATATTTGTGTGTCCTTCATACCGAAAAATTGGTTTAGGGCATATGTCTGTCCGTTTGTGAACAACGCTAGTGGGTAAACAGTTATAAGAATTATCACCGAAATTGATATTTTTCAATCGATCTAACTGATGTCGCTGCTTCTTGAATTCGAAACCTACATTTCGATTTTTTGAAGTACTTTACAGGAAACCTCAAAGACATTTTCAATTTTTTTTCAAAATTGTCACAAATAGTTTCGTTTAATTGATGTTCAAGTTCTAGACATTAAGTGCGGCGAATAAAGTGGTTAAGGTATGGAATATTGAAATAATAATGTACATTTCTCATTTCAGGTTAAAATTAGGTTAAAATTTAACTACATTTCTCCTTGTAGTTTACTACTTATGAAGTGACTTTTAAGTGCATTCTTGAAATCGTTTTATAACTGAAATGGGTTGTGAGATGTCTTTTGTTGTAAAAGAAAATATTGCAAAGTGTCTCATGGCAACCTCAACGTCCGTTGTAAAGAGAAACCGTTGTGGGGTAAGTGCTTAAGAAATGTATATCGTGACAACTTCACAGAGAATTATGAAGCTATTTTTGAGTTCATTTTAAATTATTGGTAGTTAAAATTTGTAGTTATTGAAATAATTTTCTCCGCTTTAAATTATCTATTTAAATGATAGATGCATATGCCTCATAAAATATCAAAATTTGTTAACTATGACCACCTAATGATTTTTTCTCACCTGTCGAGTTATCATCCAGTAAAACACAATAATGCAATAAAATATTCTGAAGAACTTATCATTTATTATTATCAAAGTCGATTTCGAATATTTTCCGTCACATAAAACGTAAAATTGTGAACCATTGTGCTTTTTCATAGTTGTGAAAGAAAACAATGTTTCTATTAAATATAAGATATATGCTACAATTCTTTTAAAATACATTAGTTTTAAAATTAATAGTGGGCTAAATGTGTGTTTTTAATAAGATGTGTCTCTATTCAGAAACAATTTAAGTGCCATTGAAAGAGGTGTATGAAATATGCAGAAGAAGCAAACTGGAGAATTTGCTAAGACATCTCGTTTTCTTACTACAATTTATTGAAAAGAGTGTAGTTTTCCACTACACTCCCTCAAAAAAGGCTGCAAATTTTTTCCTTAGTTTTTTCTCTGATAAAGCGAAGAACACTTAAAAAATGACGCATGTATAATTTTCGTTACACTCTCACAATTTTCAAAAACTGCAAAGTAATTAAAATAATGCGAGGAAAAATGCTGTTGTAGTACCACTAGTTTTGCCATGTTTAAATAATATATATTTTCATGAAGGCTTTTTTTTGTTTCTTTAATGTCGATTATTCTTTAAACAGAAATTAAAACAGATTATGAGGACAGTAAAATGAACGGTTTTTGTTTTTGTTTTCTGCATTCAGAGAGAAGTCGTTCAGTTAAGATAATGTTAAAATTTGATAACTCCGTCACTGGATCCCTATCTTAATGAAATGCAAGTGCTCTTATCTCGTTGAAGGTTAAAGAAAACAACCTTATCAGAGAGTGTGTACACTTTGTAGAATCTCTAGTGAACATTACGCCCGCAACCATTTATACTTCTTTGTGACTTAAAAATGTTTAATAACCAAAAATCCCAATTACAGAATAAATTAAACATGTAGGCTAGTTAGTTCCCTTTTCTATTCAAACGGCGGTGTCTTTCGGTTTTGCACAACCTCCTTAAGATACCAGCTCCATCTGGCTGTGCTTGATGCACCAGGGCATCTGGTGTACAACTGCTCCCCTGCGGACAAGAACCCCTCGTGTTCCCCTCACATCAAACCAAAGTACACCTTCAGGCGGCTCCACACATTCGGCATTCGCCGAATAGCGAACTACTGCTCGCTCAATCCCGAACAATTCTGATGTTTTCGGCGAATGTTCGCCCCCTTTGATGTGACCCCAAGATCGACACGCGGTGATTATACCGAATGTTCGGCGCTCGACGAATCGCAAGCAACCCGTTCACACTACTCGGGATTCGGCGAACGGTTGCTCGGGATTCGCCGAATACCGCATGTGTGGATCCGCCTTTCTCGGTCTTGTACCATTATAATTATATTCTATGCCCGAGGTAGCCCATAGACCCAACTCGATACTTATACGATTCTTCTGGGTAGGGAGCACATTCCTGAATCACGCACGCAGTGATTCCGGGTGCGTCAAAAAAAAAAAAAAGTCAATAGTTCCGTAAGTGTAGTGTATGTTTCCTCGGGAGGTGGCTGTGTTCCTCGGAAGCTGGTGATGTTCCCCTGATGGATAGCGAGATCCGGTGCCGACTTCCCCGTCGTCCATAGTGGTTTTCGTCAACCAGGTATCCCCCACCAGTGCGGTACTGCTCCAGTCGAGACTATGTCTGAGCTCTCGACCTGTCTCCCGGTATCCTATGCCACCTGGCTAGCTATAGCAAACATATTTTCTGCTTGCAAAATGAATAATCAATCATTACTATACTTTGGGACGCCAATCATAATAAATGTGACAGGAAACACGTTTTGAGTTTCAAGACAAAAATGAAATAATATGTTCATTTTCCGTTTATTTTTCATTAACCTATAACATTATTAACAGTTTAAGAGATGTTTCTGGATGTAAAATTAACATTTAGATTAAATAGTTTTAATAGCATCTACATGAGAAAAAAATTGTATAACGCAGAAACAAATATTACAGTCCCGCAATTCATTGTTTTTTACTCCACGTTTGATGACAATTGTAAATAGCTCTGGAATTGGCGGAAATTACATTACATTTCAACTATTATTACGTATAATAGTTTATTAAAATTATGTTTTCTCTCTGACAGTCATTTTTCTCCTCACGAATCTTTTCAATGATGCCTTACTCACACTTTCAATTTCTCTGAAGAAAAGCACTGAGTGGTAAAGATGATCTGTAATGAGGCAAAGTAAGTAGTAAACGTTTCGTTTTTAGTTTAATCGAAGACAAATCAAAAGAATAGACTATGTGTCTTACCCCAAATTAGTTCATTAATATTCATACATACATTCACACTGCACTTACATACTTCATTATTATTCGTACATAACACATAACAAGATTTTTCATTGATGAGCAGGAAATATCAATTTCCTTACCTTTATTGCATTTTAGATTGCTGAAAGTCGTCATAATGGATATTCTCTGAATGTTTGTATCACAGTGTCATATACGAGACGTTTAGCATCTATGGCCCACATGTAATCCAGGTGATTGAATTTATTCCAAGGTACTTTTATCATTCTCACAACAGATCTCGTTAGTAGAGCTTGCAGCCTTTTCACGTCCTGAAAAACTGAAGAAAGTAGAGTATATTTCTTTTCTACTACGCCTTAAACTTAGTAAATAAAATTACAAATTGCGACACTGAGAAGATTAGTCTTGTTTTGCAAAGTTTTTTTTTGTCGTGAATGCGAACTATTTTATGATACTTGAAGATTATCTGTAATAATATTTGCATTTTATTTGAGATTTACGAGGAACGAGTACCAAATAGGAATGAACAGGAATGTAAAACCACCTTCTTACATAATTCTTTTAAACGATAACTTTTAATATTCGAACAATAATTTTAAGTCTGTTACTTACTATAATATTGGACAGCCAATCGTTGTCACTGTAAAAAATCGCTACTGGGGCAGTGACTCTGGTCAGATTGTAATTTGGTGGTTTCGAGCTTCCATAAAAATACGTATTAGAGATTACGCCGTAATCCCATTGTCGAAATTGTCCTGCAAAAAATTACACCAAATTAAAACGAACACACCACGAGTTTTCTGCGTAACTTCAATACGAGTGAGGTTTTTTGATTCTCTCGGAAACCCTACCAGAAACTACTTCTTGAGCATAATGTAGAATTTGTTTAGTAGAGGCTCCTCCCGGAAAGTGAGACAATATAACAGGAAGTTGTGTCTGCAAAAGAAATATAACTGGGATAAGTAAGTGCTGCATTGTTAATTGATGACTGGACTAAATGTGTTAACATATTTGCAATTTAGAGTAGAGTATGTTAGTTGGGTAGATCTTTGACGTTCTTCACCATGTTTGTTATACTTTTAATGGAAGTTTTAACGAAAGCAATGTAAAAAAGGTGCGAAAAAATGAATAATGTATCGCTTTTAATCAACTAGTTTTTTTAGGTTGACATTGAGTGTTTTTAATCATGTAGTAATTGTTCTAAATAATTACAGTAAATAAAATGTCTTTTCGTACGCGTCATACCCGGTGTGATATTCAGTATACATTCCCAATTTTAAAAAAAAAAGAAGCGTTTTGTGGCATTTAAAAACTGAAAGTTGTACGTTTGTCGAAGAAAGAATGTGAGCTGAAATTCTACATTCCACAAATCTATATTAATGTGATGTGAAAGGTAAATCTCACCTTATTAAGTTGTTGCGAGTCCCAACCTGCTATTAGGAACATAACATTAGAGCACACTTCTTGCGTTGGTGCATTGTCTTGACATGCCTTCCTGGTGGCAGCATCAATTATTTCATTATTTGGCAGAAATTCGTATATTCCCAAAGCATTTAACAACCACTGTAAAAGAAGCTCTTATTAGATGGCAGTAAGCATTTTAATAGCCACACCAGAGCTCATTCATAAGAATGATTCACAAGACTGATATGAATTTCCAAATTTAAAAATAATTATTAGTCCATTAATATTGTAAATGTAGTCTTGATCACACCGAAATATCGCCAATTTGTTATAAGATATTCTGAAGTTTTTAATTATTGAATCACATTTCGACTTTGTTGTATCATTATGAAACCCAAAACGAAATTCTACTGAGAAAAAATGTGCTTTGAAATCAAGTGATTTTGATGAACATGTCTATTTATTTCTCGTTCTTTCTACTTTGGCTTGGACATTCACAGAGGTTTCAATTTAAAGCTTAGATTATTTTGTCTACACCTTACATATTCATCTGACATGTTCCCAACAGAAGATCAATAATAATTTGTAAACTTCCAATTTACTGCATCAGTCATTCGATAAAAACTACTCGTGAAGGAAACTTTCCTACCAACCTGTGACCATCTTCAACAGAAACATTTTGTGATTTCACTTGTCTGCAAATAATACACTGTAATTATAATGGATTTTTGGTAGTATGCAATATATTTTTTTTATTTTCATTTTTAAATCTGAAATACTTTTTTTGTTGTCTTTTTTGGTGTTTTGTTTTTGCCAAGACACGTCGTAATAGTCGACAACAATAGTCGACGCCGTAATAGTCGACAACTGAAGATTTAGTTACGGTGAATGATAAAATAACTTCGTTCATATTCTCAAAATTATCGTGTGCCGCCGCCATCATCCGTATGCGATGTGAGCAGCACGCTGCCATTTTGCTTGTAAAGGCGTCCAGAGAGAGCCACAAACACGCAATGTAGACTAAATATTAAATGCAAGCCCTATTGAGGATTTACTAAATGTGAAACAGACACATCGCCAAATTATGAGCAAAACGTTTCATGTCAAACGAGAGCTTTGTACTTGGAAGTGTTAAACAGGGGCAACCAGTCAAGCCCGCTTCCCCTCGGGGCACCGTGCCCCTGATTTTTATTCATTCAAAATAATTGAAAAAAATTAATTATATCTAATTCAAATTTAACACTAAGTTATTTCTGATTCATGGAGAAATTCATTCTGTTTATTAATTGGAGAGGGAGGAATGTTTTGTTTGAAATGAGCGGCCTCCGTGGATCAATTACCCCAGGTCCCTGTTTTCTCAGGGCGCCCCTGGTGGCAGATAACACAAATAATTAAAAATTGTATCCCGTAATTAATATATCAAGACTAACCTCATCCCCGCGATTAGTCCAGGCTATATTCCTGATTATGGGGCTTTCCATGTGATTCATAAAGGTTACTGATGACAAGGCGCACATGACCCGAATCTTGCGGTTGTACTCGGGTCGAACAGACGCCATCACAAAGAATGCAGTTGTCCCCATAGAGTGGCCAGCGTAATATAATTGCTCTCTCCGAGTTTCATTGAGAATGTAATCGATCATTGTAGGCAAATCAAATTCTCCATTCTCATGCCAACTGTAAGAAGATTAGAATAATTAATAACTATAAAATAAAAGATAAGTTGCATACTGAGTTTGCACAATAAATTCTATATACAGTCAAATCAATCCGAAAATATCCGTTATACAACAAATCATCTTCACTTGATCTCATTAACGCCGCTCTATTATACAAAACTATTATTCACCCCACTTCAACTTACTCCTTCCCAATTTGGCTTACAACATTCCATACTAATCTCAATTGTCTTCAAACATTTCAAAATAATTTTCTTCGTAAAATCACAAAAGTTCCCTTGTTTATCGGAAGTAACCGACTTGACAGTGATCCTGGGTTCCATCCTCTGGCATCATTCATCAAAAATAATTTAAATCACAACTTCATTCCTAACTTCTCCTCAAGGCTCAAATTTAACAATACTTTCTCCCGTGAAATCCTAATCTGACCATCGTCAACCAAAAGCCACTAAATTTAATCAAATAAAACATTAGAAAACAGTCAAATTGGGGTCACCTAAAAAATAAATTTGTTTTGATAAATGTTTTTTTTTTATTTAAGTTAATTCTCAAATGATGCACACTTAAAGCCCAATGGCTGACCATTGGCAAAAATAAATTTAAAAAATGTGTATAGTACATATGTGTGTTTTCAAATGTGTGTGAGAAAAGATAATTACACGTTCTTAAGAAACTCGACTAGTTTTTTTGAATTTTCTTTATTGTTTACCAAAACTAACTATTGGACATTGTCCTCTTCAAATTCATGACGTGTTCCCTGAAAAATGTTTCTCCTGCGCAAAAACGTTCATTCACATTTTTATTTTATTTTCTGTCTGAATATTATGTTTCGGTATATCCTTATAAGTATCTTTTGGTTTATCTTTAATTGAATTATGATATTGGCAAGAAGCATGCATTTCTGTTAGTGAATTATATTTCCGTTTTACTTTCTGTGGGTTTAAAGGGAAAAGACAATAATCGTGTATACTCTTTTCGTATATAAAGTCTCTGTATGTACTTCGATGTGAAGCACTAACAATGAACACAAACAGTTCTGGGGAGAGAAAGGCCTAGCAGAAAAATGTATGTAGGCATGTTTTCTGAGCTTGAGAAGTAATTTTAAGCTAAACAATAATGAAATTCCAGCTTAGTTATCTATTATCTGTATCTACGCCTATTCAACTTTTTCGTATGCTTAAATCTTACGTAAAATACCCCGAATTCTTTGGAAGTCGTGTCATATCGAACATGTTTTTGAAAAGGTGTTTCCCTCGAAAATTTCAAGCCATACGTCATATCCGCAATCAGAAGTACGTATCCTGGAAATGAAAGATAATGTTAATGCTACAGACAGAAATTAAATATTCCACTGCTCTGAGTGCACAAATGAGTTACTTCCACTGCTTTGGTGGTGATTGTTTAGCAATTAATGGTGTTTCAAGTCATATTTTTCAAAAACACATTCATACGGATCAGTATTTTTTAGTAGAGTAGCTAAATATGTTTATACTCGTTAAAATGAAATTTAACATAGCACAATGGTAGAGATCATTTATTTAAAAATTGTAAAGTAGAAGTGAAGTCAGAGGTATATTTAAAGTCGGTAGCACTGTAAAAACAATTCTAGACAGATTCTACAGGCCACCGAGTTTCTTTGTGAATTATTCTCAAGTAAAATAGTAGATGATATTTGAAATGTCTGAGTGCTTTTGTAACACACCTTTAAAATGGATAAACCCTTTAAGCTATTTTCATTTTACCACATTAAACTCGGGCATCGTGATATAATATTCACTAGTCTATCATCATTTACTCAATATTTTATTACTTGTAATTGACTGTTTGTGTATTATATTGTTATGGTATATACAATTGTGATAGTTAGTATAATACTAGTAGTACATCAATGTAATTAAGTACGTGGCAGCTGCTAATGACTACCGCGCCATGACCATACACTAAAAAACATCTGTGAAATACATATGTATGTAAAATAATTTTCTCCAAATGTTCCGCCGCAAATATTTTTTACTCAATGTGCCTGACTTTGTTGAATAATTTTATTACAATATAGGTAATGTATCTCGGAATTAAACTTTGGTATAAAAAAGAATTTCAACGTATAGAAGCCGGTTAAGATGAAGCTAAGAGTGGGCATTGTATTCTCAACGTTCGAGAACATTTTTCCGCAGAAATCCTTCACGTTAAACTTCATTTGTTATTTCGGTGCGTATTAGCCACGTGCCTCAAAGCGGTCGTCTCCCATGATGCTTGACAACTTAAAACTTTTCATCCCTGGCGGGGATCGAACCCACGACCTTTGGATTAGAAGTCCAACGCGCTATCCTCTGCGCCACAGGGACTGTGTATGTGTGACTATAACGTTCGGTTGTAGTCGAGTGTGTGCGATCTTTGGCGATGGGCCATTACGACGATGCGTTTAGGAAAGGCCATTTTGTTGACGTAATGAAAGCGCGCACTTTCAACAATGGAGAAGGCGAGCCGCTTTTGCTTCGAGAATCGGCCGCACACTCACAACTCCCTCCGCGTAAAAGAAAAACAATTTCTGTAGACGCGTAGAATTACTATTTTTAATGCACAGAAGATAGTTGAACTTTCATTTTCAGCGTAGGCCAATGATTTTTTTAATGTGGTTACTCGCAAAAGAACAATATTCTAAATATTTGAAACTACTTCTAGTGAAAGTACTTCAGTGTCGGTAGATGTTTTATACCAAAAAATTGTTGGCCAGTTATGAATTAAATAAGGGTTTAGATCAGAAATATTTACATATATAATACATTTTAATTGTGCAGATCAATTACCAATCTTACATTACAAATATGTGGATTGATGCGTCTGTAAAAAAAATATAGTATTCCTTTTAACATTCTCATTTACTTAAATACAAATTAAGCAATGCTACAAAAATCTGTCCTCGATATTATATTGGAAATACAATTTTGGGTGTCTGATATCCAAAAAGTGTTTAGTTATTCAAAATGTCTGTTCGTCTGCCTGGCAGTCTCTCTGTCCGCTCATCAGTCAGCAACTGTAGCGCTTAAATTGTTCACAGGATTTTCTTCCAAACAGATCTCTGCTCTATATGACGGAAGTTAAGTCCCCACAATTTTGAAACATATCTTTCAATATTTGAGAGTACTTCATAATAAGCCCTTCGTATTAAGCTTCATATTAAGTTCTGGTAATAGTCATTTAATAGGACTATTGTTGTTGTTGTTGTTGTTGTTGTTGTTGTTGTTGTTATTCACAGTATTCGTGGTGTAGAGAAAGTTACGTAATGCCGTATGACGGAATTACAAGTTCTGGAGGTCCCTGACACCGACAAAGTGCTTTTTTAAAATCTTTATGTCTGTCAATCTGTCTATTCGTCCGTTTGACTGTCCCTTTGTGAAGAACAGTCACACCTAAACCATTGATAAGATTTTTCCGAAAATATGTAATCCGCAATCGATCTTTCGAACCTAAAACACTGTGAATTTGAAATTGTTCTTTAATTTTTTTGCGATTGAGAGGGGTATTCTTTATGTGACGCCCGTATGATATTTCAAAATTTTCTCAAAAATTGATTTTTTTGTTTTGTTTAAAACAATTGCTCAAACCGGGCAAAGAATAACAGACGGCATCCACTCATTAGAACCTGTGAAATTTTGAAAATTGCAAAGTACATTTTTACGAACTTCATTTTTGAAACTAAAGATTATATTCATAATTACAATTTGTTCTAAAATACTAGATTTTAAAATTATTTCATAAACATTTTTTTAAATATCAACACTTTTAGAATAGTTTGTTTCAAAATTTCACAATTTCTCTGAAATTCGTAAAATAAATTTTCTAAAACCGGATTTTTTTGTCAATTTTTTTTCCATAAAACATTTGGAAGAATAGAGCAGAGAACAACGAATTCCACTGTATAAGTACCGTACTTTTGAATTAAAAAATATGTGATTATATATTGTACGTGTTAGGACCGTCATGTCGAGTCACATCGTCGCAGTCATGTCAAGTCACATCTGGGACTTAAAGGAAACGTGGATCTCACGCGGTCGCATTCAAATGCAAGCTTGGCCAAACATTTGTCAGGTTGGAAACACTCTGAGACATACTGTAAGTTAATGAGACTATCCTCAAGGGAAGTAACCCGCCACCTGCCGTGAAAACATAATTGTGGTTGGAGTTCAAATGTGCAAAATGTACCCTCGATTTCAGCCAGTATTGTTCTATGCATCAGTTACAAATAATTCGAAAAAGTGTGTGATGTCGTCGCGCCATTTGTTTCCACAATGTTCTATTACATTTACTATTCCTGGTGTCTTCCTATTGTGCGTTGGAAGCATTGTCGGTACAAGTAGCTTCCTTCATCCTCTTTCTGTAGCTGACGTTTTGTTATCTACTTGTTTAGTTTATCTTACATCTATTATAATAAGTTTAATATCCAAAAACAATATTTAAAGACATTATGAAAGCACTTTCTTGACTCACAGCAAAAAAGGTTAAGGCAAGGGGCGACAAGTTATTGACCAGTCCGATTCTGGTTTTAAAAGGTACATTGTCATTTGTTTTTGGGATATCAAAATTGCTGAAAAACTGAATAACATGAGACCTTTTTTAATGGCGTAGCCCGGTATATATTCGTTCAACCCTGATGCTACATCGCTAATCTTCCTTGGGAAAGTTCCGTTCCAAGCATGTATTGGGATGAAGGAATGGATAAAATATTGTAATGCAATATTTGGAGTTGATATCTTTACATTTTTCCGGTAAATAAGCTAATAAGTCATGAATGCTTAAATTTTACAGGAGAGCAAACAAAAAATCTTTTCAGCTGAAGTAAAACGGGAATTAATGATATTCAAACGGAGATATTCAAACTAAACTATTTGGGTGTAGGTTTCGTTTCAAATCATTATTCGTAATCCCAGATTTACAGCAACAGTGAAAGTTGTGTTTTGGCTCTCCTGTAAAATTTCAGCATTCATGACTTATTATAT